TAGGGAACTCTCCATGAGGCCATCAGGGCAGGCTGGGGGAGAAAAGGCAGTGCACCAGTAGTGGAGACCTTGGGTATTTGAGCCACTTCCTCATGTACTTACTTGTGCCTTCAGGACCTGCTTGAGCCTGATCATGTATACATAACTTCCAGCTGATGATGGAATACTGCTGTGCACAACCCATTTAATGGCTAGTTGGGTTAGAAAGCACTCAGTTCATGATAGGCAGTTCAGGTCGCATTATGATTTGATGACCTATGGTCAAACGTTCAGTTTCCACCAAAACCCAATGACAGGCCAAGAGCCGTCTCTCAAAATGAGAGTAGCTATCTGCGGAAGATGGTAGGGCCTTGCTCCAAAATTCTAGAGGCCTCTGCTGTGATTCACCTGTGAGAGCCTGACAAAGGTCCCAAACAGCATCCCTATCTGCCACTGACACCTCAAGCACAATTGGATCTGCTGGACCGTATGGCCCAAGTGACAGAGCAGCTTGCACAGCAGCCTGGACCTGTTCCAGAGCCTTATCTTGTTCTGGACCACACTCAAAATGGGCATCTTTTCAGACCACTTGATAAATGGACTAGAGTAACACACGCAAATGAGAAATGTGTTGCCTCCCAAATCCAAATAGGCCCACCAGGCATTGTACCTCTTTCTTGGTTGTAGCAGGAGCTAAATGCAGCAACTTATCATTTACCTTAGAGGCAATCTCCACAGGTCCCACATCACTAGAACCCTAGATATTTTACTGAGGTAGAGAGACCCTGAGTTTTAGTCAGATTTATTTCCTATACTCTAGCATGCAAATATTTTACAAATAAGCCCAGTGTTTTTGCTTCTTCCTCACTGGATCCAATCTGCATAATGTCATCAATGTAATGGACCAGTGTTATATCTTACAAAAATGAAAAGTGATCAAGGTCTCTCTGAATATGATACAAAGCCAGAGATTGGATATACCTTGAAGTAGGACAGTAAGGGTACATTGCTGCCCTTGCCAGCTGAAGGCAAATTGCTTCTGGTGGGCTTTATGGACAGGAATAGAGAGAAAGGCATTTGCCAAGTCAATAGATGCATACTAGGTACCAGGAGACATGTCAATTTGCTCAAGCAATGAAACCACGTATGGTACAGCAGATGCAATTGGAGTCACCACTTGGTTAAGCTTACGATAATCCACTGTCATTCTCCAAGATTCCTCTGTCTTCTGCACAGGCCATATGGGAGAGTTGAATGCGAATGTGGTGGGAATCACCACTCCTGTGTGTTTCAATACTTTGATGGTGGCACTAATCTCCACCATTCCTCCAAGGAGGAGATATTGTTTTTGATTTTCTATTTTTCTAGGTAAAGGCAGTTCTAATGGCTTCTATTTGGCCTTTCCCACCATAATAGCTCTCATCCTACCAGTCAGGGAGCCAATGTGGGGGTTCTGCCAGCTAATGTGTCTAAGCCAATTATGCATTCTAGCACTAGGGAAATGACCACAGAATGGGTCTGGGGACCCACTGGACTTAGTCAGACCTGAGCTAAAACTTCATTAATTACCTAACCTCCTTAAGCTCTATTTTAACTGGGGGACCACGATGACATTTTGGTTCCCCCAAAATTAACATCAGCTCAGAGCCAGTGTCCAGTAGTCCCCAAAATATCTGATCATTTCCCTTTCCCCAGTGCACAGTTACCCTGGTAAAAGGCCAGAGGTCTCCTTGGGGAAGGATGGGAGAAAGATTCACTGCATAAATTGTTGGTAATGTAGTGGGGTCCTTCCTCAAGGGGACCTGGCCTCCCCTTCATTCAAGGGGTCTGGGTCTGTAAAATGGCTCAAGTCTAGAAATTGAGGGGCCGTGATTCTGTATCTGTAATTTAAATTAGTCTTTTGTCCATTTGACCTAGAAGTTTTCTGTTTGTTTAATTTCAGAAGGAATGCAGCAGGCTTCCTATCAATTTCACTTCTAGGAACACATCGATTAATTAGCCAGTGCCAGAGCTCTACATGAGTCAGACTACTCTGACTGCTGCTTTACCTCTGCTGTCCATTATAGTAACTATGCCCACCTTACCTTTGACGGTTGAGTGCTGCCACTTGGCCCCTGCCAACTCGGTATTCAGTTATATTATTACTGATATTTATGTTAAAATAAGCCAGAATGGGTTAGGAAACCTTTAGTTCTTAGGGCTGCTGTGACAAATAACAATTTTGTTGGCTTAAGATGATACACGTTAATTCTCTTACAGTGTGGAAGTCCAAAGTCCAAAAGTAGTTTTATTGGGCTGAAGTAAAGATATTGGAGGAGTTTTGCTTGCTCTGGAGGTTCTAGGAGAGACTCTATTTTCTTACATTTTCCATCTTCTGGAATTTGCATTCCTTATTTTTCTTGGTTCATGGTCTTTTCCTTCATCTTCAAAGTCTGCAGTGTAACACCTTGCTTCAGTTTTCACATTGCCTTCTTCTTCTGTAGTAAAATCTCTGTTTCCCTTTTATAAGTATACTTGTTATTACATTTAGGGTCTTCCTGGATAACCCTTGGTAATCTTCCTATCTTAAGATCCTTAACTTAATGACATCTGCAAAGTCCCCTTCTGCCATATAAGGTAAAATTCACAGGTTTCAGGCATTAAGACCTAGATATCTTTGAAAACAATTATTATGCCTGCCACAGATCCCCACTTTTTACTTCCATTTTTGCCATGGTTTTGTCTGGCAGTGTGTGAGACATCCTTATCTTATTCTGGATCTCAAGGGGAATGATTCCAACTTCTGCCCATTCAGTATAATATTGGCTGTAGGTTTGTCATAGACTGCTCTTATTATTTGAGGTACATTCCTTCAATACCTAGTTTATTGAGAGTTTTTAGCATGAACAGGTGTTGAATTTTATCCATAGCCTTTTCTGCATCTATTGAGATGATCATGTGGCTTTTGTTTTTAGCTCTGTTTATGTGACAAATCACATTTACTGATTTGTGTATGTTGAACCAAACTTGCATCCTGGAGATGGACCCTATTTGATCATTGTGGATACCTTTTTTGGTGTGCTGCTGTATTTGGTTTGCCAGTATTTTGTTGAGAACTTTTGCATCCATGTTGATTAAGGATATTGGCCTGAAGTTTCCCCTTTTGTGTGTGTCTCTGCCAGGTATTGGTATCATTTAGTGGTTTTATAGTGTTAATATATGTCCATATTTATTTTACCTGTGGGAATGATTCTTTAATTTTGCAATAAAAAACAAAAGAGTCCCTAGTGAATGGTATGTTTAGTAATGGTTACTTTTCTAAAAAAGTGGATGACAAACATTTAACTTAAAAATATGTTTATCAACATATACCATGCATCAAGAGAATTGTTATGATATCTTCTTCAAATCTGGTAATTACCTGAGGAACAATGTGTCAATTTAGTACATGCAAATGCAAAAGTTGTGTTGACTTCTCATTTTGTGAACAGATTTTTAATTTACATAAAATGACATTTCATTGAACTTAATGATACTAATTTTGAATTCCACACTTTTGTGTACATGTTTTAAAATAGGAGTAATGGTTGTTCAATATGTTGGCTACAATTAGCAAAATAATTTAGCAAAGTAATTACTGATGACACCTTAAAAAATCACTATCATTAGATGATTAAAACAGAAAGTTTTTAAACTATGATTTGATATTATTTTCATCAAATTCTTGAATAATTATAATAATTTTACAAAAGTTTATACGGAGGAAATGAAAACACATAGCCTCGAGAATTTAGAAAAAAAATTCAACATTGAGGACAGAATTATTGGTGATGTGGTGATAATGACAAATACACATATTGATAGAGCAAAGTATCCTAGGAAGATCGAGGTTTTACTGAATGAAGATTTGTAGCAGAAATATAATCAGAATTGGTTGTGTAACACACATAATTTATAATCAGGTAATCATGATATTTTGCAAATCATAATGAAAATACTGGTTGCCCAGATTTATGTACAAAAATACACACTACATACACATATGTGCACACACATACAGTACACATATATATGGCACTACACTGGACAAGCTTAAAAAATTGGTGATTTTTAGTTTTTGTGGGTGGTGGTCTCACCAATGTGAAAGAAAAGGAAAGAAAAAAAGACGAAGGATGGGAAGGGAAGGAAATAAGTGGACAGGAAAGAAAAGAGAAGGAAGAGGGACAAGCAGGGATCAATGATAAGGGTGTGATGTGATCCATGGGTTATGATAAATTTGTGCATCTGAAATTCATGTTTAAAATGTTTTAATGCTTTCTTTTCTAGCTGTCTGAGATTCTCCCTCTATGAAAACTGGTCAAATGTTGTAAGGTAAGTTTCAAGTGTTGCGAGAGACCAACGGAAGCAACAAGAAGGAAGCTGATGAAATCAATTTGGGTTACACGGGCTTTAGGGTCCCTCATGGACACTCAAGCCCTGATGTCCCATAGACAGTTGATATGAGACACAGAGAAGGGAATAGCCTGGAGACATACATCTGGGAGTCATCGGTGTTTACAGGAAATGAATGAGATCAAACAGGGAGAGAGAATTTGAGGACTGATGAGAGAGGAGGCCCAGGACAGAACCCCAAGAACAGCATCACTCAAGGTGGCAGCTCAGCTTCCTGGCAGGCACCACCACCCCAGCCTCTGGAGTCAGGCAGAGACGGTTTTGAAAGCGGTCTCTGGAGTTCTGGGGCTGAGCGCTCTTGGCAAAGTCGGATACCCTCTCTGATCGGCTGTCACACCTGGCGATAATGGGCATCAGAGAGAGATGCCCTGTGAGGATGCTTTAAGATGCGCCAGGTAAAGCACTTTAGGGTCAGAACGGCACTCCCTCCTCTTCTTCTCTGTGACCCCATTTTGCTACACAAATGAACCCGACCCCGACTGTCCCCAGCCTCACGGTCCCTCGGGGATGGATGGTGAGGTGGGTCAGGCAAGGGGGAGCGGAGCTCCAGTGACGCGGCGATCACGTGACCCGCCGGGCGCCTACGTGGGCACCAGCCCCCGCGCCCTCCCTGCGGTCGGGTCCTGGCGCCCGCGCAGAACCAGCTGTCTGAGCTGCTGGGGCGGCGGGGGTGCAGAGAGCGGGCTTCAGCGAGCCAGAGAAGGCACAGGCCTATCCTGGGTACCCGCAGGTCAGTGTGAAGGCGGGGCTGCCGGCGGACCATGGAACAGCGGTGCAGGTGGCTGGCAGTAGGAGTGGGAGGGGGTGGAGAAGGGATCTGAGAGAAGGGTGAGGAGGGTGATGTGGAGCGGCTGGGAGAGGGGTAGTGAGAACCCCGAAGCAACCCTGGCCCGCCTTCTCGATGCCTGCCCCGTTGCACTGAACCCTCCACTCCATTTTAGTGCTGGAAATGGGGGTGTGGGAGCGACCCCGCAGTGCTACAGTGAAACACAGATATTCTGGAAATATTTGTTATTTTTGTTATATTTGTTTGCTCCCGTGGAAACACCTGATCTCCGCAAAAGCAGGGTGGCGCTGGGACAGGTTGCCTCTGGGAGAAGGGGACACAGAGACAAACGCAGCTTGGAAAGCATCCTGGTTTGGTGCCCGAGGCCTGGAAAGAAATGGCGGCTGGGGTGCAGGGGAGGTAGGGGAAGAAAACGTTGGGTGAGCAGGGCCTGGACTCAGGAAAGGGAGCCGAGTCCCTGTGAGGCCGCCGAGCGCGCAGCCCCTACCCGAGTCTCCTGTCTGTCCGCAGGTCTGCGCCTCTGTTGTTCCCAGTGCTCTGCGAGGCCTGAAAAGGAGGAGCAACCTGTCCAGAATCCCCGCAGGTCCGTGAAAGCAGGGTGGGGAGGGGGGACAGGGGCCCACAAGAGTTGAGGGTGTGGAGGGCCCGGCCAGAGCCGAATTGGGGCCCCTGCCCATCCCCCACCCACCTGAACACGCACCTTACCCGGCTGAACCAGTGCAGAGAAGGTGGCAGGGCCGGCCAGGCAATGGCTGGCTCATGTGTGTGGGAGGAGTGGCGGGCTACGTGGTGGGCAGAACGCCCTCTTGGGGGCATGTCCAGTTTAGGGGAACCCTCACCGGGGGTGAGATGAAAGTACTGTCCAGACCTGCGTTCCACCCCACACCCTCAGTCTCCCATGTCTCCTCTTTGTCTCCTCTTGCCTCTACCCCCATCCCCCAGGACAGGAAAAGGAGGGGAAATCTCGACATGGAAAAACTCTGCAATGAAAATGAAGGAATGACTTCGAACCAAGGAAAGATGGAAAATGAAGAACAGCCACAGGACGAGGGAAAGCCAGAAGTAGCTTGTACTCTGGAAGACAAGGAGAAGTTAGAAAATGAGAGAAAGACAGAAAACAAGGGCAAGACAGGAGATGAGGAAATGTTAAAGGATAAAGGAAAGCCAGAAAGTGAGGAAAAGGCAAAAGAAGAAGGAAAGTCAGAGAAGGAGGGAGAGGCAGAGATGGAGGGAGGATCAGAGAGAGAGAGAAAGCCAGAGAGAGAGGAAAGGGCAGAGGGTGAAGGAGAGCCAGACAGTGAGGGAGAGCCAGGGAGTGAGGGAGAGCCAGAGAGTCAAACAAGGACTGCAGGAAAGCGCCCAGCTGACGATGATGTACCCAGGAAAGCCAAAAGAAAAACCAACAAGGGGTTGGCTCATTACCTCAAGCAATATAAGGAAGCCATACATGATATGAATTTCAGCAATGAAGACATGATAAGAGAATTTGACAACATGGCTAGGGTGGAGGATAAAAGGAGAAAAAGCAAACAGAAGTTGGGGGCGTTTTTGTGGATGCAAAGAAATTTACAGGACCCCTTCTATCCTAGGGGTCCAAGGGAATTCAGGGGTGGCTGCAGGGCCCCACGAAGGGACACTGAAGACATTCCTTATGTGTAGTGTCCCTGGCAGACATTTGTCAGGTCATATGTTTTACCTGTGGCAATACTTTGCTTTAGGTGTTCTTCCTGCTACCAGTAGCCTTTTGACCCAACTGCCAGTGCTTGCTTGCTCTATGTTTCAGTAGCAGATTTTCACACATGTGCATTGCAGAGACGTTATGATTCTTGGAAAAATAAAGCAGCTTATATCATCTACAGAATCTGTTTTTGTTAAATACATGAAAGATTAACAGTAGTTTTCTGAGTTGTGAGATAGCAGGTTATTTCATTTCTTTGTTTTCTTTCTAATTTATCTTTCCCCAGATAACACAAATTACTTTTCTTACAAAAACAGTAAAATATTTTTAAAAATCAGAACACAGTATGTGAAAGGTGATGAGAATAACTGTTCAGTGAACTTACGAAATTCAGCAGAGGCACTTAAAGTTCTTGTTGTTAGAACTTAAAATGATAGGTAAAACTCACATTGCCTACCTGTGTGATTCATCTGGAGAAGTCAACATGGGGTTACTACAGATCCATTGCTCTAATGGACAGTCATGTTGTTTTGTCAAATGGAGATAATACCCTGTTTTTCAGAACTGCTGAGTGGGTTGGATGAGGTACAGAATAAATGTGTTGGGTTGACATCTACCTGCTCCCCTGCACAGGGAGAAAAAATTACCCCTCAGACACTTGGAAGAGGACTAGGGTATATCTTACCTGTATCCAGGAATAAGTCTAGGAAACTGAAAGGTGGGTGCCATCCTCTCTTAGATGATGTCATGTCCACTGGGCACTGTGCTCCTTCTCATAAATCTTGCATCTTCCTAAAGCTCCTATTGATGCTTATGGGCTGAAGTTCTCAAGGTAACAGGCCCAGTTGATTTCGCTGGAGTCCCCAGTGAGCCAAGCCTACATACCCAATCCACAACAACTATGAAAATGTGGATAAAGTTCCCTTCCTCACTTTAGTTATACTTGCCCAATAGAGTAACACCTCAGTGATGCTTCAGCCCCTGGGGAATTTCAGATTTTTAATAAAACAGTTATTTCTATGCTTGTTGATTTGTAAGTGTTTACATACAGCCATCTCTCCACCAAATTCAGATATAGAGGCTGGAGTAAAATTTGAGTGGCACACACTTACCTGTTCTCATCTGTCAGTGCTTTGTATGCTTGACTCATCTTTCCTTAGAGGAAATTCTCTTATAGGAAAGTCCTGCCAGGTCCCACCTTACCAGTTTAACACTGCTACCCACATTTGTAATTTTTAGAGCAATGCTACTCAAGTAGTGGTCCATGGACCAGCTGCATCAGCATCACCTGTAAGACAGTTAGAAATGTAGAATCTCAGATGGTCATACCAGACTTACTGAATCAGAACCTTTTCTGATTTTAACAAGATTTGCAGGTGATTCCTGTGCACCTAAAGTTTGAGAAGCAAGGTTTATGAGGAAGTTTTTAGCCTCCCCAATTCTACCTTTTCATGATACATGTGCCTAGAAGGATATATACATGTGTTTCATAGAATGCACATCGCAGATTATTAAATAGACCTGTGTTTGTCAAACTGAAGTTTCACCTTCCTACATTAGCAGAGTTTAAAACAAATTTGGTAGGCCAAGACTTGCAATATTTTTAAATGAAATCTGATATAGTAGAATCAACCAGAACCAGATAGTAAACATCAGATTGTATGGCAGGTAGGTAGGATTAAAACTGTTTTCTGAAATTTGTATTTCAGTTATGTATATATGAACGATATCTTTCTGACTCTGGCTGAGGTTTTTTAAAATTGAGAAACACTGGACTCTGTTTGAACAAGCACAACCTGTTCTCTATCCTGGTACCACTAATACCTAGCACAGTGCCTGACAAGTAATAGGTTCTTAATAAATTTGTAAATAATAATACCTAAGTCAAGAATTCTTGTCTGAGATCATTCCCTGTCTATATAAATAACTGTGGACTCTATATCTCTAGAAGCACTTACTTGCAGTTCCAAAAGGAACATCATGAAGAAGGATTTGCACTATGAATTTAATCTTATCTCACTTTATTAATGCATTTTAAAGTGTGCCAGTTTGTCACATGTCAGAATCACCATAGGACTTCATCAAAAATTTGAACTTATAATCCCCACCTCAGATCCACTGACTGGAGCTCTAGGATTTCCATCTTAAACAGGCTGCCTAGGTGACTCTGATTCATGATAAAGGCTAATCACCACTGATTTATGTACTCACTATGATCTTGGTCTTATTAACTTTAAACCATAAGATAAGCAGAAAAAAAGAATTACAGTGTATCTTTTTTGGTGGGGAATGTGAAAGCTTTTCTAAGTTATATAACAAAGATTAAGAGTAAAAATCCATAATGGCAGGGTTTAATATGTTTATTCCATGGAACCTGAAAGTGTCTTTAGAGAAAATCACACCTATAAACAAAGCAAAGTCAAAGCATATCATAGTATAGTGTATTTTTTCCTCCAGATGTTGTGATAACTGTGGCAGCTGAACAGTTCCATTTCTAAAGAAGTCTCACGGGATCCCAAATGGTGATTATTGCAAATCTACAGTTTGTTGGAGAAAAAACGGATGCAACATAGCAACAGTGTTAAGGAGAAACATAATAGTCAAAAGCTATCTCATAGTAAGGGATCTGGGGTGGCCAGGTATGAACTTTGATGATCCTCCCTCTTTATAGTAGCCCTGCAAAGATGCACTTCTCTTTTCAGATCAGGAACCATTAATTTATGCCCAGAATACCTTGAAACCAGAAAACTCAAAATAAAGTCTCAGTCCAGGTTTGCTACATTGCTGGTTATGTAAGCATATTCTTGCTATGTAGCCAGTCTCAACAGCAGAGCCCTTGGCAATGAGGTTCACTGAGACTAGGTTTAAATGATTGATCTCACTGTTATCAATAAAGCTAACAGACTGGTAAAAATCACCCCTGATTTTCCTCAGACCCATGATTATCAAACAGCACTCTTAGTTAATATGTTTTAATCCTTTATCATGGGTCAATGCCAAGCAGGTATATTTTTTATTTCAATAGAAAGCTCAGGCAAATTTCAGCCCTGCTGGAGCTCACACTTACAGAACAATATGCTTTTAATCCTCCTCCTTACATTATGCACAAAGCTGCAGGCACAATTCCTAGTGAGTACTATTAGCATGGTCCTCTCTCTTTTGTGGATATCTCCGCATCTTCCCATCCCAATTCACTCTCCACTCTTCTTCACCATGCTCTGTATTTCAAGGGAATCTGTCCTATATGGACCACATCAAAGGGTCCCCTCTTCTTCTGGGAGCCAGCAGTGATGAGTGCAGTCAGGAAATTTTTCTCCCAGCTTGTTGCCTGCAGTGTTGTCAAATGCTTATGAAGACCCTTCTCCCAATGTTCCTAGAAGGTGGCCCTCTCCACATAGGCTCTGTATCTCTAACTTTTAGTTACCTCTCTTTCCCTCTGTGCCTCAGGCTTACTTCTGGTCATTTCACCTTTAATAGCCATGGTGTATTGCACTATTCATTTTGGTTCTCTAATACCCTTCCAGTACCTTTGTCTATTCTTTTTTATTAAGAACTGCTCTCACATTTTCCACTGCAAATGTACCCCCTATTTCCTGCAAAGCACTTTTCAGGTACAGTAACAGATACAGGAAGTCACCCCAGGAATTTTCTTGTTAATTTGAGGAAGAAAAGAATAACCTACTGGCAATAGGGTTGAGAACAGTAGGGGGAAGCTGTTAGGAGAAGATCATAGGTACACGGCATGTAGTAGTATCATGATAATTCATACACCACTGGTGGCATGGAATGAAGTGCAAGTGGAATCCAAAGCTTTGAGAAATCAAGTGGCTATGTTACCTAAGTATTAAAACAAAAATAATTACCAAAAAGTTTCTGGAGTCACCTGTGTTCATCTGACAACCCATGAGAGTATGCATAGAAAAAAAGAGGACATTGGAAGCTGTGAAAATACAGCAGAGCACATATGTACAGAACCAGAAAGCCTCTAAGATAGGTTTGAAGGAGTCCCTCATCTTAGGGTAGATATAGCTGTGAACCAAGGCTAGGTCCTTAAGGTGTTGCAGTTCTGCTGCCGATTAAATGCTCCAAATGCAATCACTTTTACAACAAAGTAAGGACACTAGTAGAGAAGAAGTAAAACTCTGATACATGGGATGGGGCATTCGTGCAGACATACTCTGAGGCATTAAGAAATGCATTGGTGAGAGGGTCAAGAGCATATTTGAAGATTTCTGTGGGCCCATGCTTTGTAGGCTGGAGATGATGGTGGAGAATGCTGCAGTAGAATTATCCTACCTCAACTTATACCTCATCTTAACGTGAATTATGGAATCCCAGAGTGGTGGAAATCAGGTGACAGGGCTTAATAGTCTGAGACAAGGTGAGTGTAGCTACCACAATAAGCCACAGGAATTAAATGGTAATTAGTAAATTTTTGGCCCATAGGATTTGTGGTGATGGCTAATCAGAGCATTCTTTTTTTTTTATTGCACTTTAGGATTTGGGGTACATGTGAAGAACATGCAAGATTGTTGCATAGGTACACACATGGCAGTGTGATTTGCTGCCTTCCTCCCCATCACCTATATCTGGCATTTCTTCCCATGCCATCTCTCCCCAACTCCCCACCCCCCGCTGTCCCTCCCCTATTCCCCCTGACAGGCCCCAGTGTGTGATGCTCCCCTCCCTGTGTCCATGTGTTCTCATTGTTCAACACCAGCCTATAAGTGAGAACATGTGGCATTTGATTTTCTGTTCTTGTGTCAGCTTGCTGAGAATGATGGTTTCCAGATTCATCCATGTCCCTACAAAGGACATGAACTCATTGTTTTTGATGGCTGCATAATACTTTAAAAGGAAATAATTGGGCAGCCTATTGGATGCTGCCTGACATACTCAGGCTGAAAAAAATTCTAGGTCTACTAGAAAGTCTAACTCCAGATGCTATGGTATGTTTTCTAAACTTCTTACCCAACTGAGGGGAAGGAAGCGTGCCTCTAAGGTACGATCTTGCAGACACTGGTGTATACTGTGAATCTTACATCAAACTTTCCCCAGTGGAACCTAAAGACACTTTTCAGAGTGACTGTGAACTAAGGAAAATAAAATACCAAAATCTTTTGGTAGTTATTAGCTAAAGGCTCTGAACTGAGGCTAATTTCTGGAGACCTCAAACTG